AATGACAATGGCAAGCTGTAATACCCCTAATTTTAAAAGGATAGTCGCGGTATTTTATTAATGGTTTTAATTGTGTTTTTAATTCTTTATTTGATTTCTTGGCTATTTGTTTAATTGTTTATATGAATTAATTGATTATGTGTTTATTTGAGGTACTTGTTTAGTTGAATTATGTATTAGGTGTTTTCTTATAATTAATGGTTAGGAATTAAATGTGTTAAATGGTTATTTTATTTTAATGGTTATAGATATTAGTCATGGGCCAACTAATTGGGTTCCATGGACTACTTGAATAAGGGGTTTAATGGGTACGGATAATTACCCATGGACAGTGGATAATGTATTTGTATATCTTTATAATTAAATATACATATATATATTTAAGGAAAGTCCTTTGGGAATAATCTGACGTATTTATTTTTTACTTAGATAAAAATAATATACATGGATTATACGTAATATATGTTTTTAGTTACTTTTTATTTTAATATTTTTATTTTTATTATTTTCTTTATTAATTTGAGGTGGATTGGGAAAAGGAGTAGGGTTATGTATTTAGCTTATAAATATATATCTATAAGGTTGGAGAAAGGGGACTAGAATTATATCACGTATTATTTTAGAGAAAGAAAGAGAAAGAAGGAGGAAGAAGGAAGAGGAAGATGAAGAAGGAGGTTAGGGTTTTTATCAAATCTCTAAAGGCAAGTTTTTGTTCTATACGTCTCATTTGATATGTGAAATATATATCTCTAATATAATCTTAGGGTTATGTAAAGAACAATTAAAATTGGAATTTATAATTTAATTGATATAGAACATAGGTTTTATAAATTATATTTCATGGTTGTTCTTGCTGTGTGAATTAATAAATTCAGAGATTTGTTTTAATTACTTTATGAATTGTTACATGTTTTAAATGATGTATTTTCATATCTGTATATTGATGGAACCTAGAAACATGCCTTAGAATCCTTAAACAATAAATATTTGGGTTCACAGTAGAATTCTGGGTTGAATCGCGTAAATAGGGTTTGAGTCGTTGATACAGTGCTCGAGCCTTGGGGGCAAAGCTTGAGCCCTGGATGAAAAGCTCGAGCCTAAAAGGAAAAGCTCGAGCAATTAGGTGAAAAGCTCGAGCCTGAAGCAGGATGCTCGAGCCTACTCGAGCAATTAGGACAAAGGATTGAGCCTTACCTGGGGAAGTTTCGTAAACAGCTTTAAATTACTTTTAATTGAATTTGAGGAGTCCTAAACATCAAATAAGGACTAATAATGAGTTTAAATAAGTTTTAAACAAACTTAAATACATGTCAATGCATGCTATTCGAATTCTTGGAGGAATGAATGGATTTAATCTGTATGTTGTTCTAATAATTAACATTAAATGTGTAACATGAATTGTATGTGGAGAATGCTTACTTGATTGAATAGTAAAATATCAGCATGTTTAAGATTCAGTTTGTGTAGGATATGTGATGTAGGAAGCTTAAATAAATTATAAGTTGTTCTTATTTTGTGATAACATGATATTATATTATTGTGTTTATTTATGAATTATTTGATGTATTTCTTTAATTGTTACATCAACTATTGGACTGTGTGGATGTAGTGCACCAGTATGGGATGGTGGCACTTTAAGGATGGATTAACTTATCAATTAAGTCCTACCTATTTTATAAGGGAATTGATTAACTAAAATGTTAAGTCTTATCTTCGTGTTAGGTCAACTGAACAAGTTGGACGATACATAGTGAATTACTTTAGTTTTGATATATATATATATGCTATGATATGAGCTTGAGTCTCAGAATCAGTGGATAAGGTGCGTATATTACCAGGGATGTGTAGCTGGATATAGTATAGTTGTGTGCCCTGGTAGGTCTAGGTACTCATGCCTACTATATGTGCATTTTGCATGTTGCCTACTATTCAAGTTGAGGCAACCCTATAATCTAGTGAGGTTCCTTTAGTGTGTATATGTAGTATGGACTATTTAGTTATTGCATGAGTTAGCTATAGATATATAGTTTTTCCGGTCTCTGTTTAAGTTGTCGTAGAAAGAACTTATTCGTGGGCCTGACCCACTATTATTATTTTTTAGGTGTTTGTCAATTTCAGACATAGAACTTGTTCTTGCTGAGTAGAGACAGTCCACATCACTCTTCCGATTCTATGTAGGATTCTCTTTATGTTTTAAGTGTTGGGATTATATTTCTTTTCAGTTGGGATTATCATTAAGGGTCCGCTAGATGGATTCCCGAATTGTAATGATATTAAAGGTTTTGGATATTTCATTTGGAGGATTAATTGTTTATTAAGTTAAGGATTTATTATTTAGTTTTTTTTTTTTTTATTTTTTTTTTATTTATCCTTAGTTATTTCTTTTGTAATCCAATGCTTGTTTATATACTTAATTGTTTGGTATCCCTCGAATCTGTGCTCGAACTTGATCACCCGTGGCTCTAGAATTGAGGGGTATCATACAAGCCATGGCTCAGGATTGATTCGAAGCAACCGTGCCCACTCTGTATTGGGTTTTGCACAGAGATATGGGTTTTGGGGCTCGATGGAGATGGCGACGGTGACACAAGAAGAGAAGAGGAGGAGGTTGGATCTGAGGAAAGAGATGAAAGTCAAAATTGTAGAGGGCATTTATGTTATTTAAGATTTAAGATATTTTATATAAAAAAATTGAGGGTAAAAGGGTCAATTTGCATGTGTTTGAGGCCAAAAAGCAAATTGGGGTGTAAGTGGTTGTTAAAAACTAAAACTTCATTTAGGTGAAATATGAGCTAACCTCAGGGGGTTTGAGTGAAATTAACCCTTATTTTTATTGTTATGGATAAAATATGGATTTATATATATATGGATATATGTTATGATATGAGCTTGAGATCTCAAGATCAGTGGTTATGATGGAGGTGAATATTGCCAATTGAGAAGGGTAGCTGAATTAGGGATATGTGTGCCTTGGTAGAAGGAGGACTCGTGTGATGACCTTGTGGGTGGGTGTGCCGTGGGTGGGTGCGAGACATTGACAAGCTACCACATTGAAGAGTTACGGGTGCACAGTCCCATATTACCTGGGAAAGGGAAATGTGAAGTGCTTATATATAAGTGTGTCACTCTAATTGGTATGAGGCCTTTTGGGATAAAGCCTAAGAGCAAAAACGTGCGGGCTCAGGCCTAAAACGAACAATATCATACCATGTAGTGGAGTGAGTCATTACAAATGGTATCAGAGCCAGGTTACTATGATGACCCAGTGGGCAGGTATGCCGTGGTCGGGTGCGAGACACTGACAGGCTACCACATTAGCGAGCTTCGGGTGCATAATCCCACAACGCCTAGGAATGGGAAAGGTGAAGTGCTTATATGTAGGTGTGTCACCCCAATTGGTATGAGGCCTTGGGGGTAAAGCCCAGGAGTAAAACCGTGCGGGCTTAGGCCCAAAGCGGACAATATCATACCATGTGTGGAGTGGGTCATTGCAAATGGTATCAAAGCTTGACCTAGCTGGAAGTGTGTTGACGGGGATGTCGAGCCTCCAGGGGGGTGGATTGTGATGACCCTGTGGGCAGATATGTCGTAGGCGGATGCGAGACACTGACAGGTTACCACACTGGCGAGTTATGGGTGCACAATCCCACATCGCCTGAGAAAGGGAAAGGTGAAGTGCTTATATGTAGGTGTGTCACTCCAATTGGTATGAGACCTTTTGGGGTAAAACTCAAGAGCAAAACCGTGCGAGCTCAGGCCTAAAGCGGACAATATCATACCATGTGGTGCAGTAGGTCGTTACAACTCATGACTATATTTGTGTGCGATTTTCATGAGATACCCACTACACGGTTGAGTCTGCCTTAATTCAGTGAGAGTCTTTAGTGTGTACGTATATTTATATAATTATCGATTATATAGTTATTGCATAAGTTAGTTATAGATGTGTAGTGTCTCCGGTCTCTGTTTGGGTTGTCGTAGAAAGGACTTATTATGAGTTTTGACTCACCATTATTATATTTTTTAGGTTCTTGTTAGTAGTAGTATTAGCAGTTGCTCGTGCAAATCAGAGACTTGGCATCATCACTCTTCTAGTGTCATCAACGTTTGATTTTATCTTTTATTTAGTTATTCTAGTTTTTAGATATTTATTTATTATCAGTTATGGGATTTATTATGGGTCCATGTTTGAGGATTCCTGAGTTGTATTTTTTTAGTGATTTTATCTTTGAAGATTAAAGGATTTTATTCATGGAGGATTTATTCATTTAATTATTTTAGTTTCCTTTCAGCTTTATTTATTTATTTATTTATTTTTTTGTATTTCGTGTTCATCTATTACTTTAATTGTTTGATATCCCTCGGTTTTGTGTGCAGACCTAATCAACCCGTGTTCAGGAATCGAGGGATATCACACGTGTGTTCTTAGCCTTCAAATTTTGTGGTGTATTGCAGAATCATCCAGTTTGGCTCATTCAAACCAATCCCCATTTATATTGGCCAAGGAAGTGTACTTGACGTTTCGATGTTTGGAAGAATCTCTCGTCAACATGATGAAGAAGGATGGACTCTGGTGACAAGAAATTTAAAGCAAGTGAATCTAAGTCAGGTGAATACCCTATTATTAATATTAAATTATTTAGTTTTAGTCTTATTTTTATAAAAAAAACATATAAGATTAAAAATACAAAAATTATATACTTTTCTTATATTTTGGGTTACTCAGTTCGTAAAATCTTTGTTCAAATTATATTCAAAATAAATTCGGCTTCTAAATTTTAAACCCAGCCATGTCCAAAGGTCTCAAATTCCTTGCCCACGTCCACAAAATTTTTGGAAGGGACTCAGATTGCTCGGGTTAGGCCCACTCAAGTCCCATTAATTATAGTTTATGTAAGAATGATTCTTTCCTTTGACAATGGAAAAATATAAAATAATTTGAATTTCATTTAGTTGATCTTTTTGAAATAAAACTTCTTCATGATCCAATTTCAGAGGAGCCTACCTGTTTTTATATGGAACTGTTTTATTATTATTATTATTTAATTATTTATTTAGATTTTATTTTTTAGATTCGTTTTAGATAACCAAATTTTTTATTTTTATTTTTTAAAATAGAAATGATATTAATAATTTGCTTGCTATTTTTAGATATATAGATATATATAACTGTCCTTAGAAAACAAACACATACACTCCACATAATTAAAAAATGTATTCATACACTTTACATGTAAGGAGTAATATTATTTTTCATTACCTTTCAAAAAAAAAAAAAAATTTGTTTTTTATTTAAATTATTATGCTATTATATATTGAACTTCATCTTCCAATCTCAAATTTCACTAAAAAAAAAAATGTGGTTATGTAACTTACGTTACTCGTAGAACAAACACACATATACATACCAAATAAGAACAATCTCATCACAAATTTTTCAAAGAAGCCACCTCGATTGGTACTTTCAAGATTTATTTACAACACAATTCAGATAAATACAAGGCATATATAACTAATTTACTCCAAACTACATTGAGATTTTATTCGCTCTTCTACATATGATTTGATAGACTAAAAAAGATAGATATAATCCCTACACACACAACACACACATTGTCGGTGTGTGTGCATATATAATAATTGAATAATACTTGTCTCTTTACCATGAGGAACAACTTTCTTACACCTTTCACGAACCAATTGAAAGGCTGCATGTGTTGTAGTCATTTGCAGCATCCCTGAAAGAACACAAACTCAACAAGATATATTAATTCAGCTATGATTTGTCAAGCAAAAAGATATAACATTCCCTACACACACAACTGCGTGTTTGCATAATAATAGTCTTTTTACGTGTCCAATAGAACTTTCTTACAACTTACATGATATTATTGAATAATACTTAGACGGATCCAAAAAATTGTATCAGAGAGAACCATCTTAAACAACAAAAATATATAGTGGGATATTATCAAAACTTGAGTAGGAGTATTTTAAAGATTTTAATGTCCACTTCTTTTCTTTATAATATTTAATATTATAAAAAAAACACGGAATTGAATAATATCATAATATCTTGATACGGAGTTCATAGTTATAAGGAGGAAGTTGGTGTTACAACACCCAATGTTATCTTTAAAATTGAATTGCATTATGAAAACACTTTCATGAGAGATAGAGAGAGAGAGAGGGTACCTTAGGAAGAGTGAGGTTGCATTTGGGAGGGAGTTCCATGGCGAGACGAGAATCAACCCCAAGTTTTGACAACACGAATGAGTCCTTATAAGAACACAGACATGCCAAGTCAGCACATGAAAGGGCCTGGCAACACTCCGGCGTCGGCTTGGCCGGTTGTGGCTGATGAGTCACGCAGGGCTCGCATGCCAGCATACCAGCCTTGGTCATATTACAAAACTCAAATGCTTTCGACCCTTCCAATACCATAACCAAAACCATCACCACCACCACCATCATCTTCCTACCCATCTCCATTTTCTACCTACGATATGATTGATTAATTTTGCAGTTTTTCACTTCAATATATCACCTGCTTGTTAGGTTGGGATTTTTTTTCGGAAGGAATATATATATATGGTTGTGAATTTGCTTCTTATATATAGAGAGAAAAATAAATAAGTGGTAAGGGTTTGTTTGTTGGTTTAGTAGAGACCTCCTGGTGTTGTAGAATCAGATTCAGAGGCAAGCATTAGCCTGATTTAGAAATAGTGTAAAAGAGGTATTTCGAATTATTGCTTTTTGATCTGAATATATTCTACAAAAATTCAATCATTTGATGATGCAAACTAAATGAATGACAGCACGGATTTATCGTAATCAGTCTATCCGAGGACGCAAAAATCAAAGGTTGTATTCGGCTGTATGGAATTAAAGTCTTGGAATTGAAATTGGAGATAATTTTAGTTCAATTTTTAGAGTTGGTTTTCTCCAATTCCTCCAATTTCAATTCCTTGCAGCCGAACATAACTTAAGAGTATTTCTCGTCATAGCATTTTCTCTTCATTTATTTATCATACTCTTGTTTGTTTAAGTTTGAACATTACGTAGTTGACCTTTATATATATATATATATATATATATATATATATATATATATATAAAATCGAAAGTTCAAGTCTCTATAAAGATATGTGGGTGTATAAATTTATTACCATATCTTTATAAAGTGCGTATTTAAACCCCTTAAGCTTAGGCATTCTAATACTTTTATCTATCTTATTTTACCGTTTTAGATTGATTTCGTATTATTTCCAATTTCAGGCACTTATCTCGAAAATAAGCTAACTCAGCCAAATAAGAGCAGAAATGAAACAATTCTGGGATAAATCAAAGAAAGGAGCAAAGTGGGAAAAGAAAGAAGCAAATGAATTAAAAGGTGGGAAGCAGCAAAGTTCGATCGATCCAACTTCAAGGTTCGATCGATCGAACACTGATCGATCTCAGTACTTCAAGATAGATCTAAACCTTGACCCAAAGCAGAAAGTCCAAAGTTCAACACCACCCTTCGATCGATCCAACACTTTTGCCCTTATTCAAATGATTGATCTTATCCACAGCTGTACCACCCACTAACCACTTTTGTCCTTTTTCCAAAAATATCTCAGATTTGTCTTTTCCCAAAAAGCTCAACCAGTTGGATCGATCCAGCCTAAGTTCGATGGATCTCAGCGATGTTCGATCGATCCAAGTCCAAGGTTTGATTGATCGAACTTCCTCTAGTGCGAAAAAGTTAAATTTTCAGCTCATTGAAAGTTATCCTTTATCCAATCATTTGGGAATATGCTTTGCACGACCCCAGCTCATTTTGTGTGTCACTTGACCTACCTATAAAAGGAATATGATGAACTTTTTGAGGGGGGCACTTAACATTTGGTAGATACAACTTTAGAGACTATTCTTAGTGTAGAAGAAAAGAGGAGGAGGCTAGAGACACCATTGGAGTTCTTCATCAACAAGGAGCAGATTTCTTCCATGGAATTAGCCCTTGAGGGTTGGAGCAACATTACCATGAGTGGTTAGACATCCTCTTGGGGCTTGTTGGCACCAAAACTTGGCAGCCACCTTAGCGATGACGTGGGCCAGTGAGAAGCTAACAAGTGTTAATTATGTCTTAAAGGAAATAGGCCAATTGAGAAACAAGAGGAGAAAATCTAGGAATTCAGCCACTTTTCTCAATAGGGTTATTGCTGAAATATGGTAATTGATATTTGAATTTATTCAAATAAGTTGTTTAATTGGGAAAGAAGGGATAGAGATTTAGTTAAATGGAAATCCCTATAAAATAAGGATTTAATTGGAGAATGAATCATAACAAAGAAGGGCAGTTACACGAGTCATGGTTAAATTCAAAAGGGATATTCAGGCTATCTAATGGAAGTACTTCAGCCGAGCTTAAGGAAAAGAGTTGCTAATAATTAGTAACTTCTTTAGCAATTTTTCAGCAACAATTCGGCAATTTGTTTTTGACTAAATCAAGGAGAATCTTCAGTAAGGATTTTCTACTGAAATTTATTGAAACAAGCCATGAAGAGAAGTGGAGATATATTGGGATTTGACCCAGCAAGCCATGAAGTGAAGAAAATCGGGAAGGAGAGATTTTCTAGCAATTAATTAGGAAATAAGTTAAATAAAACTTCTATAAATAAAAGTGTTGTATTTCATTCCAATTTGTCCAGCACCAACCACAATTTAACATGAATAAAAAATTCATCAAATGACTCAACGTCATCTTTATCTTCAATTCATTTGTCCAAATGGCAAATTTCATTCGAAGAGACTAAGTTCCAGTAACTTATGCTTCTTTTGCAATGCTTAATTATGCTATTTACAAATTAAATCTTTGTTTTATGCAACGGATTCAATGACAAATCTTTGATCAGATTCATGTCATTTTAATTCGGCCAGGATTTCATTCAAAAATGTCATTATTTTCCGTGTTATTTCAATTCAGCCAATTTATGTTAAAGTCCATTTCAATTCAGCCAGTTCATTTTCATTTACTTTAAATTGCATTTTATTTTCTTTTAAGCACCTTAGATAAAAAGTCCTTACTACAAACAAGGCATAAAAAGAACCTTGCTGGGAGTTCTTACTAGTAGTCTCTCCCCCACACAATCGCCTGACAGTCAGCCATCGGAAAAAGGGATAGGCTGGTGTTCGAATCAACATATTTTTGAGTGTTTTGTACAAATACTCTGGCACACCCGCAAAGAGTCCATTGACTTGCGTAAAACCGCGCGAACATATTTTGGCACGCCCGGTAGGACCACTAATGGGTCTTAGAAGAAGCAAAAATGCCACGGCTTACGAAAAATTCAAAGGCCGTAGCCACTGAAGAAGATCTGAAAAAAGAACATCAGCCAGCTCAGGTTGGTAGCTCTACCTTGGGAAATGTGGATGAACTAGCTATACCATCAAAAGTATCAATAGTTCAAATACAGTTGTCCTCTTTGTTAGAGGCGATGGGAAGAATGAGTGCAAGTCAAAATGACCTACACGAAACAATGTCTCAGCTTTCAGCAACCATTATGAATAGGCCAACTCAGGCTGAGAGCTCTAGCAATCAGGAATCGGCCACTCAGTCGATTTTGTCACAGGTTGTTCAGCCGGTAGTGAATGCTCAGCCATCACAGCCGTGGCCGCCGATGGTTCTGCTTCAACTAAATATGATAGCTAATCATCTAGAAAGCTGGCCGAATTATTATCAGCCACCAATGGTATATCAGCCAGGACTCGGGGGGTAGTCGATTGCTAATCAGCCAGAAGGCTGGCCGAATTATTATCAGCCGCCAATGGTACATCAGCCGGGATTCGAGGGGCAGCTGATGGCTAATCAACCAGAAGATTCGCCGATTTATAATCAGCCACCAGCAGAAAATCAGCCACCAGTGGTAAATCAATCATAGCAAGGTTGGCCGATTTACAATCAGCCACCTGCGGTAAATCAGTTGAAAGTGGTATATCAGCTAAAACCTTTCAACCGAGAAGGCAACCAGGTAAGGTGGAGAGCTTCAAGTTTACTTTATGCTCAGGAACCACTACAGCTAGGACTCATGGGGCAGCTGATGGCTAATCAGCCAGAAGGGTGGCCGAAATATTTTCAGCCACCAGCGAAAAATTAGCCGCCAGTGGTAAATCAATCGCAACAAGAATGGCTAGAATATCAGCCAGTTGCTTTTATACCACAACCTTCAATATTCGGGGGGCAGCTGATGGCTAATCAGCCACAAGGTTGGCTGATTTAAAATCAGCCACTAGCAGAAAATCAAACGCCAGTAGTATATCAGCCAAAACCTTTAGGACTCAGGGGGCAGTTGATACCCAACTAGCCGCTAGTGGTAAATCAGGATCGACCAGTCATTGATCAACCCAATCAGCCATCGACGGTCAATAAGGTTCAGGTAGCTGATATTATTAAGCAAGAATATGTTAATGGCCTTAGGGGAATAGGCCGACCAATGTATAAAAAGCCAAAATCAGCCACATCCGGCACTCAAACATCTACTGTATCGACCAAAAAGGGAGCGGATGATGAAGTCATTGGGGTAGACAATGATCTTTTCATAGCAGGTAGTACTGTGATCGGCCAGGCTCCCAAAGGGAAGGTTGATGAAGGGAATCAGCCTAAGGTTGCCGAGAGGACACCATCAGCCATTCCAAATATCAAGGCTCTCATACAACACGGTTGCTGCCCTGAATGGAAACGTATTAACCGAGGTAAAATTAAGTTTTTTCATAAAATAAAAGTCCAAACTTGGTTTTCTAACAAAAGTGTTCAAGAGAGATTCACTTCTTATCAAGGTGAAAGAATTTCAGGATCAAATCGGCCAGATTACCAGAATGCTTGGTCGAGAATGATATCTAATCCTCAGCCAGAACCATCATTGGCTGAGAGAATTCTTTTAGCTTTTCAACCTCAACCAAAATTTCAAGAAAAGAAAGCGGCGACAGAAACTAAAAAAGGTTAAGTTGAAGAGAAATTCGCGGAAGAAAATAAATCGGCTATTTAATGAAAAATTTTATGTGGCCGATGCAGTGCTACATGAAGAGAATCTTATTTAGTTTAAAAGAACAAATAAAATGGGGCGACCTGCATCGGCCACTATGAAAAGAAGTCTGGCTTATATTAACTCTAAAGAGTTAATCAAAAAGGTATTTTAGCCGAGGATAATGCTTTATCGGCCAACTGTTGAGGTGCCAAATAAAGAATCAAGAAGGAGTCAGGCCATCATGGCTGCTGACATTCTGAAAGCTTACCCGGCAGATAAAAAATCGGCCACAAAAGAAATATTATTTTTGGTATTATTGGCTGATATAGTTGAAGTCATTAAAGAAGATGACTATTCAAAAACTTGGGATGGCGTACTTTCAGAAGCTCAATGGGAGTATAAAAATTCAAGAGGATCACCCATCAGAAAAGCTCCATACTGGCAGAATTTTGTTTTTTCAATAGAGAAGCCAATTAGATCGGCCCA